GTCACCTCCGGGGCAGGCGGGGATCGAACTCATGCTGAAGTGGCCCTAGCCTCCCAGTGCTGTGCTTCAGCCCGCTGCGCCACCAGGGAGGGCCCTGTTCTTTATTCTTTACCTAATAAAGACCTGCCTCCACCTCCTCTGTCGTCCTCTGAAAGGAGACTGCTCACTTCAGGAAGTGCTGAATCTGTTCCATTAGTCATCTTACACAAAGTTCTTTACCATGAATGATCCAGACGTATAATGTCATCTCTGCCGAAGTCTGCTACCGCGGCCAAGTGTGACCACGCCTGGGCAGTGGCACACGCGCACTCACGGGGAGTCTGCCACCTGGGTGCCACCCAGCTCAGGTGCCAGGTAGCAAGGAGTTAACACCCCTCGCCAGAGAGCATGACAGACTATCACATTTATCACCACTTTTAAAAGCCGAAGTTACTATCTTGAAACGAGGAGGTCTTTGACGTTGCCAGGGAACCAAATCGGGAGCGCGCAGGAGCCCGCTAACACACAGCCCCACGCTCTCTGGCCGTCGCCGACCCCCGCCTGTGCTGCCTCTGAGTAGCTCCGTCCAGACGGCACGCTCTGGAAGTCTGCCTGGCGCTCGTGTCTTCTGAGGGGAGTGGCCGACGAGGGAAGACGGGGCAGATCTCCACAGGACTGCGTGGGTCCGCATGCGGCCAGTCTCGGGGCTCCTCCGAGGCGCAGGCCGAGCCCCCCCAGCTCAAGCTGTCTGAATGAACAGGTCACTTTCCCACAGGGGCTGAGACAGCTGGAGCTGCAGCTTGCGGGGTAAGCTGCTCTCGTCTTAGCTGTGCCAGTACTGGGAACTGCCCATGAGGACAGAAGAAGAAATGTATTTGGCTTATGTCCAAGCTGCAAGCATGGAGCTCTTCAAACCCTTGGAAGTTCCTGACAGGCCAGTCTTCTGTCGTTCATAAGGAGCCCTCCAGTCAATTCAAGATCGATGGTGAGCAGAGGCTGGCGGAGCCCCAGCCACCCCATCTGCTCTTGCAGAGACGGCGCGGGGACGGGGTCTCCAATGGGCGAGCTTCCGGGTGAGAAAGCAAATGAGGGTCCTGGGACGGCACTCTGTGGAGGGCTCAGAGCCCGAGCCAGCCCCCAACACCTTGCCCCGTCACCCCTCTCCCATTTGGCTGTCCCTGGGTAGTGGGCACATCTAAGGAAACCTGTGTGCCAGCAAATCATGGATGCTGAGAAGGGGCTCAGGGGCCTTCTCGTGAGCAGAAGGTGGCCCAGCACTGAATTGCCAACTACAAAGTAATAAACCCGAATCACAGAAGTTAGTCGCTCTGAGCCGCAAAGACACTGAAGAGCTGTCCATGCCCATAAACCACCACAGTGGTCCCCTGCTCACGGGGCGTGGCCTCCCTGTCTCCGCCCGGCACTGCCAGGGTACACCTCTGTCCTGGCAGTGCTCTGGGGTGCTCTTGATCCTGTCGCCGGCATGAGAAAAGGACTGGGAGCAAAGGAAACATGACGCGCCACATACACACACACCTGCACTTGGCGCCCCAGTGAGGGCCTGAGCCGGCTCCTGGAGGGGGGAGGGCGCAGGCGCCCCGCCTCCTGCTGACGCTGAGCCCGCAGGCCCCCCACCCCGCCCCACAGGCTGAAAGCTGGCTGGCCCAGGCAGGCCAGAGAAGGCGGCAGACGTGCTGTGGCGTGCCTCGCTGGGCACAGTCCAAAGAAGCCTGACAGCTTTCACTTGACCCCTGAAGAGCCTGGCTCTACGGGAGCTAGGGCCATGTCAGACCTGGGGCCAGCACGCCGTAAAGCAGCCCCGACCGGGGAGCGAGGCAACGGGAAGGAAGACCGTGCACCAGCCAGCAGCGGAGAGGACACCAGCGGCCTGCAGACAGCGGTGGGGAAGAACCGGGGCAGCGTCAGGCCCTGGCAGCACCGCAGCCCCACGGGCGTAGCGGCCCGGCTGAGCGCCCCGCGGCAGAAAGCGGCTTGGGGTGGTGTGTGGCACAGCAGGAAATATAGCCAGCGAAACGCCGGTGTTACCGGTGGCGCTGACTAAAGAGCTGGGTCCACCGTGGAGCACAGTTCTGAAGCGATGAGTGCGATTCAGAGAACCTTTGCTCACTGCAGCGAGAAAGAAGCTGAATACCGTACCGGCTCACACTGCCTTGGAAAGCTTTTAAAGCACATCTGACCGACCTAATTAATTCCAGAAAGCTCTTGAAAATACAGAGGGACCAACGTACCATGTTATTATGAATCACACACTAGTCTGAAATACTGGTCTCCCTGACTCAGCTGCAGGTCACAGCACAAATGTCACTTGCTCCAGAAGTCCGCCAGCCCCAGGTCTTCTCAAACCCCTCTAAGAGCCTCCCGGAGTCTCACCTCACTACCCTCCATGCCAGCTCCTCCCCGACTTACTGGGATGCTCTCTACTGGGGCGAAGGTGGATTCATCCGTATCTAGGTCCACCTGCCATGTGGCCACTCAAATTCTGATTCAATAGCAAGAACCAGGGAGAAGTAGGGAGGTGAGGAGGAAGGGAGGAGAGAGAAGTAAAGGGACAGGCTGGATGGTGGGAGGGGGCAAGCAGTGAACACGCCAACAGCCGTACGGAGAGGGGAGGGCGGCAGGGGACGTGCCGCACGCACGGCAGGAGCCCCAGCACCACCGCTCGGCGCAGTGTGGCCTCAGGCTCCGGGGGCTGAGAGTGGGCGCGATGAACAAATACACGCCCAACAACAGAACTGCTCATTCTGCTTTAACAGTTAAACCGGAGGCCCTCCCTGGGGGCGCAGCGGGTTACAGCACTGCACTGAGAAGCTGAAGCCGCTTCCACATGTGTCCGATCCCCGCCTGCCCCGGAGGTGACCACAGGGCGCGGCAGACCTCTCCTGACCGCCCGCTGCTCCCCTCAGCAGTGTGCTTCGTCGATCTGCCTGTCCTGCTCCCCGCTCTGTCTCTGGTGAAGCCTCTCACCCTCCACATCTCTGGCCCGTACCCCAGTTCTGTATGAATAAATAAATCTTTAAAAAAAAAAAAAGTTAAACTGAAAGAATATGAGACTTCGCTTACAACACAGTCGATACGATACTTTCTGCACAGACGATGCTCACTCTATGAGGCAGGTTATTCTAGAGGAGGGGAAGATGAGGCCCGGAGGCGCGTATGGAGAAGGTGGCCAGTGGTCAGAACCCCCAGGCCGCGAGTGGCCACCTGTGCCATGTGGCCCACAGTGCCCAGGTGCCAGGCCAGAGCCACAAGGACCCCCTCCCTTCCCCACCATCCTGCCATCAAAACGGTCCAATGGCCCAACATGGCGCTCCCGTCCCGTCCGTATCTGAGAACAAAGACACTGGCGAGAAGCATCTGAGCCGATGGCAGCATCTGAAGCCTCAGACACAGGCCGGGAGGCGCCGACTCCTCGGCAGGAAGTACCGGGACTGCACCTCACCGGCCGCCGCGAAATTTCCCAGCAACTGTGGGGGTCTTTGGCGCAAAGTGGATGGACCTTGAGATGGTGGCGCTAAGTGAAGTCAGTCAGTAAGTGAAAGATCTTAGATGGTTTTACTTATCTGTGGAATATAAATAACCAAGAAACAGGGGCTGGCAAAGATACAGCAAAAACAAATGAAAAACCCTTGACTCTGACTTAATTACCAGAGGAACTGGGGGAGAGAGGGCAGGGCCAGGAGGTCAGCAGGGTGAGTCAAGCATGTGCACGCAGGAAGGCGCACCAAGAACCCCCCACTTCTACAGACATGCAGATGACGGGCAGAGACAATAAAAAAAAGACCCCAAGAAGCAGTGGTGCTCGGCGCAGGCCAAGGCCAAGGCGGTGACGCCGCGGCGGCTGCCAGGCGCCATTGCAGGCAACCACGCAGGCCGCCCTGACACCAGGGGCTCCGGAAGCACGAGGGGGAGAGAGAAGGGGCTCATGAAGTGACGGCGACACGGGACGCCGTAGCAGACGTCAACAAAGATGCGAGCTTAGATTTCTGTGACCGGCGGACAGTGTGCTTACTTCATTTTGTCTCTAGTTTCCAAATTTCCTACAACAAACACAGTTGTCTGCAGTAAGAAAAAGAGTAAGTTACTGGGGACGCTGGTGTCCTGGCAGCTCCAAGTCTAACGGCGTGCGCTCGTCCCAGCGCACACTTCATCCGAGACAACGGCAGAAACCAGCGTCTGTCCTTGCGTGAACAAGCAACTGAAGGAAGCTGAGAAGAAAAGCGATGGCCGCCCCCCCCCCTCACACAGCCAGGGCTGGCCACTCAGTCAACCCCAGCCGGAGTCGTGCGGCTGAGCATGGTGAGCAGGTGCGAGCCGCCCGCTGCTCTTACTAGGAAGCAGGCCGAGCTGAGTGCCAGCGGCGCCTGACCCAGAGACCGTCCTCAGGAAGCTGATTTGAAAACCATTCTCAAGGCTGCCCGAGTCACACAGCAGTGCCCTGGGGTGAGAATGTCACCCACGCCTGGGGTATTCCACATCCTCACAGAAGCACAGATGTCTCACAGCTCTAACTTTAACAGTTATTCAGGGCAAACCTGGAGAGCTGGAGAATCACTTTCTCTTTCATGAACAATACTTCTAAGAGGTTGTTATGGTCCAAAAATAAAAAGCAACATTAAATTCAAACTTAAAATTGAAGAACATTATCCCAAAAATTCCATTCATCATTACATGCACCAAAATTTATGTATCCTCTCAGTGTGTCTTTTCAAAAAAGAAAAAAAAAAAGATTTATCGGTTTATTTATTTTTGAATAGAGGAACTGGGGTGTAAGTCAGAGGTGTAGAGGGTGAAGAGAGAGAATGGGGCGCAGAACAGGCAGGCTGACTGGCACACACTGCTCAGGGGTGCCGCGGGAAGACAGGCGAGGTCTGCTGTGCCCTGTGGTTCCCTCCCTAGCTGGGGACCGAACTCAGGCCATGGAGGTGAGAATGCGAGACTCAACCCCTAGGCCACTAGGGAGGACGGTCCCTCAAGCGCTTCCTTTCCAGCACCAGACTTACCTTTCACATTGGATCGGCTGGCAGGCCTTCCTACGTTGTTCCTTTGGTGCTTGGCTGACATGCGCTTCATCTGTCGAGGTGTGCTGGGAGGAGAGGTGCCGTACAGGTTCTCCGTGTGGGTCTCATCTGAAAAGTCCTCAGGGTCAGATTCAGAATTCTTGCGAGCTGAATCTCCTGAAGCGCACTCTTGCCTACGGAAGTCAACAAGCAGAGAGAATACTCAAGGCTGTGCAACGTGGGTTCAAATCTGAGCTCTGACATCGGTCTGACGAGCACTGCGGAAGACTGCACCCCGGTCTGCCTCTCTCGGCAGCGCTGCCTTCTCAGTCCGCACTCGCCGACACTCACAGGCACCTCACTTTCACTGGAAGGGTAAAGACGAAGGACACAGGACAATGTGTAGCACACGGGCACGACTGACTTCAGTGCCTGGGGTTAGAGAATCCTTTCCAACATAGCATAAAGAAAATTTAAAATGAAAACCTTACGGGGAGGAAGAACAAAAGCCTAGGTGACACAAATCAGACGGAACTAAGTGAGGGCTTGTGTGCCCGCCACTGGCCAGCGCAGCTGGTGCCTGGGCACATAGAGCCCCGCCCTGTGGCTCAGAGCCCTCCTGTCTCCGAGGAGGCCCAGGACCAGCAGAGAGTGCTCCGGTGACGGGGCAGACCCAGCAGCCTGTGACCCGCTTGTACAGGGGCTGCCTGCATGACGAGGAGGAATGCACTCTTCTGACTTCAAATACAATTCCTCGTTAGCTTGGAGCACTTTCCTGGAAACACATCTACCAATTCGCTGTCCCCTGCCAACTTTGCAAATAATGTCACCATTTTGATTAAAGTTCTGATTTTGCAAAGTTACCAAATAAATTCTAATGATACACACGAAGAACAAATGCAATTCCGAAGCAGCAAACCAGCAAACCATCCTGAAGTTCCTTTCAGATCCCTGCCACTGGTCTACCTCATTCTGAATATTCTCTGTAAATGGACTTCTTCCTATTTCCTAGTCATAATCCCAAACTACCCCCAAGGAACAGTAGGTTTTCTTCCTAGAAATTTACATATTGATGTAAATCAAAGTTATTTCAAAACATGAGGGAAAAAGAAAACTGTAAAATGCATATGCTATTCAACTGAACTAACAAAACTTCAGAAAATAACTTTCAAAAAATTAAGATGGTACAGAATATACAAATTTACACTACTGAAATCTGTAAAGAATCCCTCTGACAGGTCAAAAACTGTTTGGTTTTTTTGTAAACAGGTAAGACTGTTCCAGACATCTTGAGTGATACATGCCCAGGCAGAACAACACACTAGTGCCTCACAGCCCACTGGAACGAATGAAACCGTGAGCAAAGGCGGAAGGTTGGATGCGCTTATTCCCTCCAACTGCATGCGTTAAGTCTCAACTCATACAAAACAACATCAGATTATCTTGAAATCCTCTCTCTTTTTCTACACTCCATGCAAACAGTTTGATTCAGCTGATGAAAGAACTGGCTATAAGCGTTGGGGTCGCTTATTCCATCACCTTGTGGGGGACAGTTACCGGCTCTGGAATGATGAAAGCTTCCTGGGGTGAGGAACTTGGGTGCCAGTCCCAGCACTGCTAGCTGTGCGGGGGGCAGTGTTTTAAACCTCCACACTGCACGCTTTCAGAATAAGGAAAATAAATGCCGAGAGTCCACACCTATGAGGATTAAGTCCTAACAAGAGGGACGCAGTGACGGGTCCCAAAGTCACCGCGACCTCCTGCACGCCTGGCGCAGCACTCGCCGGAGCCCCAGAGTCAGTCCCCCTGAACTCAATGCAGAAGTCGCCCTTTGAGTACAACGGTGGGTCAAGAAACATGACAACTTAAATATTTTCATATTCAAAATGAAAACTTTTTTCTTAATTCCCCACTGAGCTGCCGTGGGGGATAAGGAAAGCCGCGGCGCGGCTGCAGTCCCACCAGCAGCCCTAGGTGGCGCCACACCGCCCAGCGGTTGCTGACAGCAGGCGTCACTGCAGCAGGGCAGAGGGCGGTCCCGAGAGCAGAGCACACCCCAGCCACCCCAGCCAGCCCAGCCAGCCCAGCAGCGGGGTCGGATATGAGGGCTGCGGGTCAAGTGGCACAGTGACGAGGCCTCTGAGAAGGCCCCCGGGCAAGCGGCGGCACCAGAGGCGCGGCTCCGGTCTGCTGTCCGCTCCGGTCTGCTGTCCGCGCGTCCTCGCACTCCTGCTAGGACTGCGAAGGCCCATTTTGAATGTGTATGTGAACACACTAAAGTATTTCAGAAAATTAGATATGAAAATTTTAAAAATCAAGACAAATAACGATAAAAACTATTACACAGAAAACGCTAAATCCACGACGGCGCCACGTGGCATGGGGTGCCAGTACCCAGCGGGACTGCGTGAATAAATGAATCCGTGAAATACAGAGGAAGAAAACGTCCCGACTCTGGTGACAACCCTCTGCCCACGGCCCGTCATGACTCCAGAAAGGCCCCGTCGCCCTGCGCGTCGTGAAACACGGCCTGTGCTTGGCGGGCAGACAGCGAGCAGCAAGTGACCGCAAGGACGACGGGTACGGAGACCCGGCGGAGAAGGGCTCTGCATGGGTCGTGCTCGACCTCACGCAGCAGCGGGAGCACAAGCCCTGCAAAACCCCCGCAAAGGCTGGACACCTCGTTTTCAAATGCACATCCATTATAAAACCAGACGTCATACATTTCAGTCTCCATACCTTCCCTGGACAAATAAACACTACCTCACTTGAAAGTATTTCTAAATTACTTGATTATTCCAATAAAAACCAAAGAATTAAAACAGAACATGTCACCCCTCCTTATTCCTTTTTTTAAAAAAAGATTATTTATGAATATCGAAATGGGGGTACAGTCAGAGGGGCAGGGGCAGCGAAAGGACTCACCAGAGACAGAGTGGGGAGCAGAACAGACTGGCTGATGAGGTGCACTGCTGAGGGGAGCAGCGGGCGGGTCAGGAGAGGTCTGCCACGCCATGTGGTCACCTCCGGGGCGGGGATCGAACTCACGGAAGCGGCCACAGCTTGGCTTAGCTTTGCAGTGCAGTGCTCCAACCCACTGGGCCACCTGGGAGGGCCCTCCTTATTCATTTTCTCCACAGAAAATAAGGTAGAAACAATGCCTTGTGGCACCGCCCAGCCACTATACTTACAACTTGTCAGTAAATGAATTTTAGGACAGGCATTAAAAAAAGGTGAGGTTATGCATTTAAAACTTTCTTAGGATTTACTTCACTCAATCAAGATGGCTGCCATACTTCTTGGAAATTTTGGTTTACATTCAATGAAATAATTTAGTAACATTGATATCCTGGAACGAAAACCAAGTGAGCTACAGGATTTGCTTTACAAGGTCTTAGCACCCAATACACAAAACTTCCAGTATCTGCCATCCCATCAAACTCGGCAAAGAAACGGGAAAATATAACCCAAAGCAGGAGAAGAATCAATAGAAATATCTATTTTCTTTGTGCATACCTGAGATGAAAAGTACTCTGGAATTCAAAGCACATTAGACATAACACTGAAAGGTCACTGAACCTGAAGACCCAGGGGCAGAAAACACCCAAAGTTAATCAGAAAGAAAAAATACAGGGAAACAAAAGAAAAAGGACAGAGCATGAGGACTCTGTGGGACAGAGTTCTCCATCAAGCAAGTAACGCAAGCACTGCTGGCCCGAAGTGAGACAAGGCAACAGTCAGTCTGAAGACACTTGCCAAATGTGAAGGGGAGAAACCCCTCAGGAGCTCACATAACCAAAAAAGCTCTGTAAGTTTCAAGCTCAAGAACCACGAGAAAAGGACCAGGTTTTGACTGTGCAATCATAATCACCACCAAATTGCTGAAAAGCCAGGGATGAAAAGGAAGAGGCTTAAGAGCAGCCAGAGTAAAGCAACTTAGTTTGGGAACCTTAGAAGGTTCCTTAGACTCTTAGAAATCTATAAAGGAAGGAGGGAAAGGAGATCAAGATTCTTTTACTTTCAAAAAGCATTTACAAACAACATCTAAGAAATAAATACTCGTGGTAGGTTCAAAAGAACTTGCTTCATTTCAATTAACCAGCCAAAAGCATCCAAAGCCTCATTTTGTATTAGCTCATGTGAGATGAGCTAATGTGGTCAGCTGACTGGTTTAGAATGTTTCCATGGATACCAATTATTTTGGATGAGGAAAGTGATCCAAGGTCAACACCAGCTGCCCTGAAACATTTGCCTTACTTGTGTTCAAAAACATGCAAGTGTGAACTGTCTTTCTGGCATTAAACTTCTAAGAGTCATGTAAGACAATGTTTTACTCTTTTAACACAAACCTTTGCTAATGTACCATTCACTTGACACTAAAATCTGGCCTGAGAAAAGTATGTCTCAACTTAACCTAAGTGGGTTTAATATAGTTTTTAAATTTAAAAAAACAAAAAACAAAAACATAAAAGACAGGACAAAAATCCAAGTGACTTGGGGTGAAATAGTTCTGCTGTGACATAGTAGGTAGCCCACACGGTGCCTGAAGTAGTTCATCTATAAAATGATGAAGTTGGATTAGATGGGTTCAGAAATATTTGTGGTTTCACAAAGTCCTAAAAAAATGTTAACTCCATTTAAAAAGTCTTAAGAAGACTCCCTGGAAAGAAAAGGGTTTTACTCAATTAATAAGGAGAGTGCTCACCTGTGAGACTCTCCAAGATCCCATTAACCCGTTCTGTTAATGATCAGGGGCAGACTTCTGCTACTTGGTGAGGTGGAGGGAGAGAGGGAGAGGGGGAGGTTGTTTCCGTTGCTTTTCCCAGAGCTTGTGCAGCTGGCTTGGTCTGCAGCATAAACTAAAGGCAACCTCATCTGAGGCTGACTGCTTGGTTCCCATTGTAAGAATCAATTAGTAAGTTAGGTGACCTTAATTCAGCCTACAGTAGAACATTTATTAGCTAACCTCCAGGTGAACTGCCATCAAAGCTCAAGCGTATCCGACTTTCACCAGCTAACTGGCACTGACTCAAGCGTGCTGTGCTGTGTCTCCACAAACCCATGGAACATCGCAAAAGTGACAATAGTGTCAATTCCAAGCCAGAGCCTTGAGAAAGTCCCCTTTGTCCTCCAGGGCAGCTAGCCGCCGTGAGACGGGCCACCACCCCGAGATGGCCCCGGTCTTCACCGCCCAGCCCCGCCAGGAGGCTGCCTGAAGGAAGACCCTGCGAGCTCGGCATGGCCCTGCGCGACCTGCTGGCAGCTAGCATGAACTTGCCAGTGGTGCGTAAGGCTATTTTGGACTTTCCAGTTGTCCTTGAGGCCAAGCCACCACCTTACGCAGAAGCAGCACTCAACACCATCACAGACAATAAATGGTTTTCATGCTAAGCCATGAGGCTTTCGAATGGCTTGTGCAATTACAACGCGTCCATGCATACGTCAGAACGCATGCAGGGGTGTGCAGAGTGCACGCAGAAAGGGGTGTCACCCCATCACTGCTTTGACGAGGGCTGCAGCCTGGCCCAATGCGGGTCCCGAGAGTCGCATACACCACGTATACCACGAACACCACAAGCTGCACATGCCACGCGGCCCGGCGCTCCATCTGAAAAGGAACAAGGGTTCCGAGGCCTCCTAGAAGGTGCGGCCGCACGTGTGGGGGGCTGGGGAGGTGCGGCCGTGAGGAAGGGTAGAAAGGAGGAGAACTTGAGAATTACATGCAGAAGAGTCAAACCATAAAAACAAACCCTGGCCATTCAGACAGACAGTACACCAACATAAAATACTGCCAAACCAGGGTGAACACTCCCGAACCTAGGGGCTCCCGTGGGAGGGAGGGGAGCAAGGGACCAGGGCACAAGAGATTGGGGGGTGAAAGATGTCTGTAAGGCAGTCTTTCTGGACTTTCATGACTCTTCTGCTTTCTTCTTGAAATTTTAACAGTTCGCCTCTATTAATTTGTTTTGTGACCTACCTTAAGACTTTCCAGTTTTCCGAGCTGGTTTACATACACACTAGTTCTCTTCTGCATCCACATTAATATATTCCCACAACAGTTTGTATAATTCCACAGTTACAATGACCACACACAACTTCCCTGAACAGATTTAAGAACTAAGAACTCATGGTAAGGTTACAGTTCAACTGGTGGTAAGAAAAAACCAGACATTCCAGAAAGTAGCCTGTCAGCTAAGACACCCAGGGATGCGGTGAGCAGCAGTCTGTTTGAAAGCACAGACGAGTGGGGTCTCAGAAAGGATTAGGTCGATGAAAGGACAAGGCCTGACTTAAATCTTCTAGACGTCTTTTATTTCACTCAGAGATTCATAGTGGAACAAAAAGGGACAAATGGAGAAACATTAATAAGCTCTAAGGAAAAGGTATCCCATGTGCATAGACTTTACTGGCATTAGAAAAACAAGGAAGGGGCAGAGGCCCCGCCCACCTGTGCCTGGGCAGGGCTCCTTGCCACCAACCCTGTCCCTCCCACGCAGCAGCCTCCTGCCTGTCTGTGACCTGCACCTGAGACCTGCACCTGCCGGGGCCTCCCTGTCCTGACCTCCCTCAGCAGAGGCCGCTCTCCTCAGGCCGCCGCCAGCGACTACGCAGGCCTCTCAGCAGGCCTGACCTTTCCGGGGCAGCTCTTCCTGCCCGCTGGTGTCTGTGCAAGTCCCTCTTTTCCGTCCCTTTCCCTAATAAACCTGTTCTATAAATATAAAAAAAAAAAGAAAGAAAAGTAAATTGTTTCAAAAATATGTGGAACTGCAAATTCCACAAAGTTAACTCATAAAATCAAACAAATATAACAAAATGCTTTAAGACTTCATGTAACTGTCCCCTCTAGTTAGTAGGAATCAACCAAAAAGAACTAAAGCAAAAGAAGAGGTGGGGGGAGGAAAGGCAGGAGAGAAAGATAAACCCGAGGCCTTTAGCACATATGAGTCACATTAAGATGAGGAGCCAACGATGGTGATTTTGGCTATTTTGCCGGACGCAACTGAGCACTTAAACCCAGGGGCCAAAGAATCAAACATTTCCCACGAGTACTTACTACCAGGTCTAAAACCACCAGAAAAGGCGAGAACGCCCACCTGGTTCCCAGTTAATTTCCCGCCAACTCCTGACAGCAGGTGCACATTCTCACAAGGAGACAAAGGAAGTGGGAAGCAGAAGCTCTGGGAGGCAGCAGGCCAAGCCCTGCAGAAGGGCATCCTGGCCACAGAGGGGAGAGTCGGCCTGTGCAGCTCAGGTCTCACTGGGGCGCCTTTTACGAAGAAATGGCAATGAAAACAGAAGGAATGAGAAGCAACATAAAGGTGGTGACGAATGCTCAAAGGCTGTTTCAGGCTTAGCCAAGGAGAGCCCCTGCTAAGCCGATCTGAGAGAGGAGACCTGCCTGGAAGCAGGAGGAGAGCAAGCACCTTACAGGGCGCTGGGCAGGGCTGCGCCTAGAGAAGCCAGAACGTGCCTAAGGCTTTAAAGGTAGCCAGAATCGTCACCTCCCTCTACCCACACTGATGTGGGAGCATTTCCAAATCCCCTTATTCTAGCTTGAATTTATCTGTGGAAAAAGCACCTTTTGTCCTGAGTTTCTTCACTGTCCTTAGAGATCAAGTAACTGGAGTCACTTTCTGTGGGAAAGAGCTTAACTGAGCTCTCGTAATCTTACTCAAGAGCTTCGCTTTTCTAATTTCCATTTTAAAATGAGCTACTGCAATACTTTTGCTGGCACACATACACATTCAAAAGATGAACTGCATCTTGAGAGAAAGTGCATTTGCCTTGCAGGATTACTGCAGGAAATCCAAGCACCGGAGATAAGTTCCCAGGGCCTCCAGGAAGGAAATGGAGAGAAAGGTCACACAGTGAGGGCAACCTGGACATTAACTCTCTTGCCCTCTCACTACAGTGACTCTGGATAACTTGCAGCCATTCCCACAGCAGATGCCGTCCGCCTACTGTGAAAGCGGCTGCTGGACTGGATTCACTGTGATGGGGAAATATGTCAAATCCATGTTGTAAACAGCAGCATTGACCCAGAAAAATGGAATGGTACTTTTCCCTTAGTGTTCTGTGCTGGACTTTCTACCTTTAAATGACAATAAATGTTGTAAGAACAGATTTAACAATGGATTTAAATCACACACACACACCTCAAAACTAAGTTATGTTTAAACCAGAGGAAACATTAGTGCCTACAGTTTATAAAAATTGATTAAAATTATAAGAAAAACCCTAAGAATCCGAGAGGAAAATAAGCAAAGAATGCAAAAAAGATAATTCACAAAGGACAATTAAAAAGCAATAAAACATGAAAAAGGTTTCACTATGCTAGGTACTAGACACTCAAATTCAAACAAGTAAATGTATTAAACCTGGCCTAGTCAATCAATAAAAACGCTTCATAACCCGCTTAGCTAGAAAGCTTGTAGCCAGCACGGCAGGTACTACGTATGGCCCACACATTTGCACAAACTTGCCAGAATGTGCAATGTTTAACAATGAATATTGAAAGTTTTCAAAAGAAATTAAACAGATATGAAAATGCTTCCTTTCAGGGTCCTCCCTGGTGGCACAGCAGGTTGAAGTGCAGCCCTGTGAAGCTGGGCGCAGCCACTTCACTGCAAGTTCGATCCCCGCCAGGGAGCTGACCCACATGGCGCGGCAGACCCCGTCCCCCCGCTGCAGCAGTGGACTTCTGCCTGTTCTGCTCCCTGCTGGCTCTGGCACTCTCTCTCTCTCTCTCTCTCTCTCTCTCTCTCTC